TTTGTGCCAGAGAATAAGATCTAACTTAGGGACGGTGACGATGGAGTGAGTCATGCCGCGGAGAGAATGAAATATTCAGCAAAATCTTATGGAACATAACGGTTACATGTTGGGATAATGATTTGTCAGAGGTCGCATCAAGTTGCTAAAGTTCCACCTCTAAAGTTCGTTGTGACGCCCACAAGATGTTCCTGGGATGGTGCAACCCAAATGCAAACGTGTGCACGTGTGTTAACCCGTGATTATTTTTTTTAGGCTGAAAAGGAAATTTTAAGTCTAAGAGAGGTAAACTGAAAGGTCAAAAAAATTTACAGAACTGTGGAGAAATAAAGTAATAAATGTTGACATCATGGTTTAGAATTCTATAAAATAAAATGTGTGCATGAAAAAAGAAAAAAGAAAGAAACATTTTACCACAAAGTAGCACTCAGGAGCAGTGTGAGATGGTGTTTTTCTTTTTGTTCTGGTGATGAGATAAACCGTATCTTTGAAGCGGACGTATGGAGAAAAGACAACTGGAATAAAGCGGTTGATATTTATTGCCACCGCAGTTATTCCCGTTGTTTTTTCTACCAATCCTGACGACCACCCCCTCCATCTCAACAAGTCTCCCCTCACATTCAGCTTCTTCGTGTTTTACGGAGCAGCAGATTTGTGTGCTGTCCTCTAAATCATTTCCCTCTCTAGCAGATTGCTCCCCACTGGAATATTGGCCTGACAGCCCTTTTTCCCCCCCTCCTTCTACTTCCCCAGTGGACTCATTTACATTTATGCACGCAGCAATTAATTACAGACTGGCGCTGGCCTTGTAAATTAGAGGGAGCTGAGGTCGCCCTCATTAATTGCCCCTGACAGTTAAAGCCTTGTTTGGGTCGTGACAAGGTTGATTTTAGGCCGGGACACTGGAAGCTTTGCAAAGACTGGCGTGTCTTCATGCATCTGATATCATTTTGGGGTAAATTAACATGTTTCTTGATGACTATGTTATTGTGTGCTAGTTTTTTTTCTCTTCTCTTGGACACAGAAGCATTTTGCAGTCTCTGTGTTCTTGGCATCCAGAGGTCACCATTCCATTCTTTGTGTTTTGTCTTCAGAGTAATGTCTTGTGTATTCTGGGGGTCTTTCATCCAAATGCTTGCGTATGGGAGTTTTCAATAGGCCCAGGAGTCAAGCAGGCAACTTCTCACGGTTTTGGCCTTTTCATGCGAAGACGCTCCAACTTCTTCCAGCTCCTTCCTTCACAAGGCCCTCCTTTCTTCTCTGTCACGCAGCGATGTGTTTGTGCATACCTCACCAGCTCGACAAAAGAAGGGAGAGATCCTATTCACTTTTGCCTTTGACATTCACCTCTTGTTTTTACAATCTTTCCAAGGCGCGCTGTTTGCACAGTGGAACAGGCTTTGTCTTGAAGAAGCGGGACAATGGTGAGCACCATAATGTAATCTCCTAAGGGTGGTGAGCAGAGGGGTGAGGTTTAGACATATGTGCTGGCGCTTGCCCCTACTGTCCTCTGTCTCCCTCCCACCTTTAACTTTAGCAATATTTCATGTTAACAGCGACTTGGGAGAGAAATGCGTGTTGTCACTTAAGCTACTGTAATGTTCGCCCAGGTATTCCGTGAAGGGAACACAAAGGCTTTTCACTCATGCAAACATCCCCTTCCCTTGTTGCACCTTTAAAAAAAAATGTAAAAAAAATTCTGTAGCAGTTTGGCCACCCACGTGCAAGACTTCAATCCTTTCTTCTCCTGCTGACATAATAAGGAAACATTATCCATTCCTCGACTTAACTAAATGTTTTAGCAGTCTAAACATCACTATCTATCTATCTATCTATCTATCTATCTATCTATCTATCTATCTATCTATCTATCTATCTATCTATCTATCTATCTATCTATCTATCTATCTATCTATCTATCTATCTATCTATCTATCTATCTATCTATCATCTATCATCTATCCATATCCATCTATCCATCCATCCATCCATCTCATCCATCCATCCATCCATCCATCCATCCATCCATATTCCCTTTATTGCTTGAATATCTAGGTGTGTATAGTTTAGCGAAAGGCAGGAGTAGCAGCACATTGTTTTGCTTTAGGGCTTGTTGTACAAGCTACGTTGTTTCATTTAGGATGTCACGCTTCAAGGACAGAGTAAAGAAAGCAGCAGTATTCTTAAAAATTGAAATTCATAGAACAAATAATTTGTGCAAAAGTTTTTTTTGTCAAACTAATATTTGTAAACTGTGATTGTGAATGAATCATACAACCTCAGAAGCACTGTCTATATGTCTGTCACAGTTTCATAGTGCACAGATTTAAGAGTTCAGTGCTAATAGTTGCACACAGCAGGTTTCCCTTCTTACGGGCCCAGAGTGAAAATACTAAAAAAAAAAAAATCTCTGAAACATTACAAGGCCTGGATGACATGGCCAGTGGCCCTCAGAGAGGCAGTGTGCGCTATAAGTGCATCATTTATGGGTCAAGTGAACCTCATTTTGGTTTAATTGCCCATATGATTAGCTGGAACCATGCACTGTTTCCTACGGTGCAGACATGGAAGTGGCAGCACAGAGCCTCATGCAGCGCCACGCTCATTGAGAGCGCTTCCGCCTAATAGAGTTCCATTGTTCTTTCTCCAGTGTGTCCACGATTGCACAAGTGGCATTGACAGCTGCAACAAGACAACATTTGGGACTGCGCATATTTTGTTGCGTGAATGCGTGCATTCATTGTGCAGGTGCTGGCCTCGCTGTGAACATAACACAGGGTATCTTCGTGCACGGTATTGCTCACCTCTTTTTCTTAAAAAAAAGTTCCCTAATGCAATAATGTCACAGCTTTGGTTTTTGTCTTTTGTCTCAGACCTTTTGTTTTGCTGCTTTCAGTATCTATTGCAAATATCAGACACTTTCCCCGCTGCAGCTGGCTCAACTGTAGGGTGACATGTGCCATTTTACAGCTGTTGGACAGTGGGCCAAAAAGGTAGCTGTTACTTCCTGCAGTTGTCAGGAGAAGCCTGGAATGGCTCTATAGCCTGGATCTCCTATGTCAGGTCCTCCCTGAGATGAGGATCTGACAAAGTGGTGAAGAGCAGCAACTGAGCATGAGTGTGCAAGCACAACGTATTAAAGGAAAAAATAAAAACAGCCAGTGTGTGTCACCTGGTCTATAAACGTCCATTTGAGTGCTCACTGCTTCCAGCGAAGAACTGGGTAAATAATTCCTGCATTAATTTACTTCAGATGACTAGCTCTCTTTTTGTTCTTTTATATTTCAGGCTCTACAGTACACACATTTATAGCAGATCCGTTGGGTATAAGCACTGTTTACACATTGCATATGCACATGTGGACATGTGCAGAAATCCTGCAGAAAACACGCACACCAGCATAAGCCAGTGGGTCCTTACACACAGGATTTTTGCTGAGTCTGTGCATTTTTTTGCGGCAGTGCTCCTCTACTGGACAGCCAGCTGTCTCTCCGATTACCCAGCATCCTCCAGGTGTCAGATCTGCCATCTGCAGATGAGTGGCAGGGTGTGTGGACGGAGGAATGACGGGGGAAAAGAGGGAGAGAGAGAGGGGGGTCGGTTAAAAAGAAAGAGAGGAAACAGAATAACTGGTTCTGCAGACATCTGGAACGTGTTCAGACGGGTCAGCGAGAGCTGCGGAGTGTGAACGCTGCTCAGGGGAATCCAACTCGCAGTCACTTGATTGAGAAAGTGGCTTTTTGAGTCAGTGGCTGCTCAAGGCAAAGACAGAGAGACACACAAAGAGAGTTGCATCTTACAGAAATGTTTGCAGGGATGTTTCACCAAAATGTGTTTTTACCCATTATTTGTTATCAGTTTTATTATCAGAACTTCTTTGATTTTCTCCATTCAGAATAAGATTCCGATTTAATTGTGCCCTGAGAGAAAAATGCTTCTACGAGAGAATCATTTGGCTGATTAAAGACATGAATAAAAGATCATATAAGCCCAGTGTTTGCTTTTTTCTTCGTTGCTCTCAATTAGACTCAAATGGTAGAATCAAAGGGGTGTTTGTATGGCCCCCTTTGTAGCACTTAGATGCTGTGTTTGGGTGACTTGATGATGAGCGGCATCAGAAAAATGCTGCTTTGGTGTGTTTAATTGCTTTGTCTGTCGTTGTCTGCACAGACTCTCTCTTTAAGAGCCTCCTTATCCTGGTCAGTTCTTTCTTTCATAAATTAATGACCTTCCTCTCTTAATTATGACTATCTCTCTCTCATCCTAGGGCTCCCTCAGAGTGATGACTCACTCCATCCTGATCATGGTACCTTCAAAGTGTTGTCATTATTTGTTATTATCCGGTTTAGCAAATGACTGCTTGTGGTTTGCACTTGTGTGTGTGTGTGTGAGTGAGGCTATAATGAGGCTGACCCCCGGTTAGCTTCGAGAGTGAGAGTGGGTTATTTTAGGAATGGTGAGCTGTCCACCTGATGAGAGATTTCTTTTCCGTGCTCTCGCTGGAATCAGCTTTTAAAAGAAAATATCAGACATCGCTAACCACATTAAGACAGATTTCAGCCAATTTCTTCTTCTTTTTTTTAAACTTCAAAGCCGCGTACAAGAATCACGTTGTTTGTCATTTGTTGGGCTTTGCGTGGCTCAGTGTGCGCCGCTGTTTGTGCAGGGTAAAGTGCTGCGAAAGAAATACACTGATCCTCTGTTGGGTCTGCCGCGGACTTGATACAGGAGCTCTGTTCTGTCATGAACATCCGCTACAGAGAGCTCCCAGGTGGGGTGAGAGTGTTCACTGTGCTCCAAGAACAGATCCCAATTCAAATTTTCATAGTTTGTCAAACCATTGCTGGCGTGATGCAAAAAATGTAGCACTGAAAAATATTTCCTGATTTGCATGGCAAGGCTGTCACCCTGTAGGGTCACATAAAATGTCAGTTTTCATCTCATCATAGATGTTATCTGACAAAATATTCCTTGTTTTTTTCTGTTTTGCTCTATTCTAGGTGATGTTCATGAATTTTAAAGTGCATCCTTAAGTGTGAAGAGGGTGTTGGAGCTGAAGCCTCTTATTTCTGTAAGTTTTCCTCATCCATTGACATGACAAGTACTTTCTTGCACTGTATCACCGCCAGCTTCTTTGTGATTTTGTGCCACTGCTTGGCACCTCGGATAACAGCTTCAGTAACAAGGCAGATGATAAGCTGTTGCAGAGAAAACACTATTGTTTTGGCAGAGCAGCACAGAGCGGCTCTCGCTGGTGTTTGAACATGCCAGGTTTTGCACCAGTGGTTGTGTTACCTGAGTTGCGTGTGTGTGTGTGTGTGTGTGTGTGTGTGTGTGTGTGTGTGTGTGTGTGAATGCTAGCCCATGTTAACAAAACTGTATCCAGCTATTTGCTTGTCAGCCACCTCTCACTCCTCCGTTGCTACAGACAGACTGCTTTTGATTTTGTTTCGCAGCAAATGCAGTCCTCCACTCCTGGTAGTGTTCTGTCCTGTGTGTCCTCAATTGCCGCTTTCACTTGGGTGAAGAAAGGGGTCTTTTAAAGGCTCCCACAGGCATCACTCCAGGAACCTCTCACTGCTGGGACCTACAGTGTGCCTTTTAATGGACTTTCTCTCTGTGAGCAATAAAGATTATATCTGGAGTCAAATAGTGCTGCAGGTAACACTAGCCTAAATTAATCGGGTGAAGTCGCTGGGGCTGATCTCAGTGGTTTCAGCAGAGACATATGAAATGTACAGATGGCAGAGGTTGAAGAAAAGAGTGATCTGACCATCTGGCTAATCCTCCTGTTTAAGAATACCTATTAAGGCCCTGTCTAGTGCCCCTTGTGTCACTGGTAGGTCAGATCATCTTTTATCACAAACTAGAACTGCGGTTTGCTACCTGGGTATGGGACCAGTGCAAGAGGTCACAAGATAAATAAGCCAGGTTACGGATGGAAAGAAAGATAAAGAGAGAAGAAAGTGGTTAAGAAGATGGATGGATTGATTACTGAGTGTACTTACCCCTTCATCCCTCTGAAGTATGAGTAAAAATCAAAGAAAGCACCACTTTGGTTAAACTAAAAAGAATGATCAACTAGAGCAATTTAGGGAGCAATATTGTGGCTCTGTGGAATCCTTTCACAGATTTTGTTTTGTCATAGATAAAAGCGCTGAAGTAAGGAACTGTATAAAGATTGGGGGAAAAAACCCAGGTGACTTAGGCTCGCTTATAATTCTATCAAACATCCTTAATTTCATCAGCTGATTTGCAAACTCAAAATCAAATTATTCTGTCTTTTAACATGCAATTGCTTTTCAAATCCAATAACATAACGGTAAGATGACAAGTGGACCCTCGTAACAAAATCACAGTCTTTATTGGGTACCAATCCTGTCGTGACAGCGATGATTTATGGCATCTTTGTTTCACAGGACTTTGGAAGGAAGAGGATGTTGTGTGCTTGAGTTACAAAAATTGAAGCCTTAACTTGCTATAAATATCCAGCGAATGATCAGAAGAGCAGTTATGTGTCTGTGGCGTCACTGGGCAGTCCTCCAAATGTGAAACAGGATAATGTCAATTATTGCGTGTTCACATTTAGTGTGTGGAAAACTACATTTTTCTTCTTCCTTTTTTGGTGAATCCAAAATGTTTTAATGCTCCATAAGGGAATTAGGATCAGAGCTTATATACCCATAAACTGACACACCATGTCCACGGCACGGGATTTCAAGCTGTAGGCGATATTAGTGTGGTCTTCTGAAAATCTCAATCAGAGCCGTAATGAGCAGTAAGGAAGACCACTTTATGCAGAATGATAGCCCTGTGTTCAGAGCTCTGTTGTTACACATAGCTGCTGTAATAGAAGTCATTTGCAAAGAGTTAGACAAGTTACCAGACAGCAAGCAGCTGTTGGGATGATTCGTAGTAAACAAATGAGCTAATAAGCTAATGAACCCACTGAGGTTACCTGTTTGGCCTCCCCCAGGAAAATGTCCTTATCTGCTCCACGACATTTGACTTTAGCTTTGTGTGAGAACTCAGCTGCATTACTGCTAATGGGCAGCATCTAACAACATTTAGTGTTGCTTAGTTAACATTACGCAGTTAACCTCATGTTAATCTTATGTTAGCAGAACTCTGTTGTGTCCTCTTCAAGTTGTACAATTAGTTTACTGTTCTGATTCATCCACACATATGACTTTTCTGTGGTGGACAGGATACCTTAAAAGGACATTTTCAGGGATGGGAAAAGAGAAGTGAACTGCTAGAGTACATATGCGTGAGTGTTATGTATGTTGTTGTTTCCTATATGTGTTTGTGCTTGTATGCGCGTTGGTGTTTTGCACACTCATGCCTCATCAACATCCCATCAGAGACCCATCTGGTTTTCTTTGAAGAGGCTCGTGGAGCTGCAGCAGCCCTGGCTTTAAGGCAGGGGCAAGCCAGCAGCAGTTCCTCCCCACTTACACATAAGTCCATGGTGCAAGGCCCTCTGCCAGTAACATTATAGACCGACCCTTGTGGCTACTTCCCAAACCACCCAAGCTCATACCCCACTTTCTCTCTTCTATTGCCCTTGAAATGGGGCCTGCTCTAAATATTATCTCCCCCTGTGCTTTATCCCTCCGTTTATCCCTAAGTCTGCAGAGAGAAGAAAGGAGCCGTGGGGCTTAGTCACTTTTTCCCTTCTCTTCTCCTCTCTCCAAAACCACAGGCAGCGGCAGCGGCTTCCTGGAGATGAGCGCTTTTGTCTGTTGTGTGACCGCTGTGGCTTTAGGCAGATCCTCCTCTGATGAGGTAATGCGCAAGCTGGATGATCAGGCAGAGGGAGAAAGCAGGGAGGTGTAGGAGAGGGACCTCAGTTTGGATCTATATTTTAACCTTTGATTTATCGAGCTGGTTCTTACATCCACATCCTGCTTCACATGGAAGGCTGTTGACTTTAATCCCTGGATCAGAGACACAGTTGGCAAAGTTGAACTGCAGACTACTGATGAGTGGCGAGTGTCTGTGAAAAAAGGTTTAGCACACGGGAATATTTCTTGCATTTCCTCTGCTATTGGCTCCATTAGTAATCAGTAACTCTTTATCATTTTGGGAGTTTGTTTCCGCAGTTGCAGCAAAAAATATTCATAAACATTTGTTGCTGCAAAAGTTACAAAATCATTTTGCATCGATATACAGAAACATTTCAGTATTTGCAGATATCCAGATCTTGTCTTGAACTGTTGTGAAATGAAGCAACACTTTCATTATTCCCATTATTCACTTTGTGTTTCAGCTGCTACTTAAGAATTTCTTCATAGATTAAAAAAGGTGTCAAAGGTTTTGTGTGATTTTTATGTGCAAATTTCCACTCAAAAAAAAAAATACTGGAAAGGAACCTGCTCATGGTTATTTGCATATGTGTCTGGACTGTAAGTGTTTCCAATGCGTGTTTGCCCATTTTATCTTTTTTTTTTTTGGTAACTGCTGCTACACTCAGACCTCGGGCCTCCTGTTAAGGAGTGCCAGCAAACTCACTGACATTAAGAATGATTGGTTTCTGTTTTACCTGCCATGGGTCATGGAGGTCTGAGGCCAGGGTCAGCCTCTCTGTTGTGGTTTGTGCTACAGGAGATGTCACCGGGTCCTTAGATCACAGTGATCCAGCGTATTATTCTCTCCAGACAATATGCTTCTATACCACTTTGCATTCTTGAACATGCCGTAGCTGGAATGAGGTTTTTTTTCCAGCTGTTTGGTTTCCTTCAACACTTCATTAAAAACAGTGGGTTTTAAATACCTTGTGTTTGAATGTTGTGTTGACTGTGTAGGTGGAAAGAAGGAAGGTCAAAAAGCAAACAGCACATCTGCAACAATGGCTCTCCTGCAGTGCAAGCACTTGCTGTTAAGAGACTTGTCTCAGCTTTATATTTACGATCAAAATTTAAGCAACCCTGAATACAGTTCACTGCAGCATCACACAACAGCATAGCAGCCTCATAATTACAGTATTCTCATTAAAGTAAAATCCTGCATCTCATTTGAAAGCTGCCATCAGCAAAAATTAACTTGCCCTAATGGCCGCTGATTGCATTCCTGCAGTGGCCAACCCCCTCCTCCAAATTTAGTGATCTGATCATTTAAGTACATGCTAGCATAATTGAGGTCTCTCCCTTGATTAGATTTGCGCCAGCTTTTAACAAAGCCTGCTCGAACTTAATCCAATGACCCCCATTGTAGCAGGAGAGGATGGATGACATCGCTCCTGGTTAGCGTCAACATCAACCGTGCCGTCGAGCAATTAGAGGCCACGCTGATAAAGTAGCTGGACGACTATAGCTAATGATACAAATGTTCTCAAAGCTCGTGAGACAACAAGCTGAAAACTGAGCCACGTTTCATAATCCATTCATCTGACTTTATACACAGAAAGTTTTCAGAAAGGACTTTGAAATGAGATTTTAAGTTCAAGGAATCACTTCGGTTTTACAAATAACAAGCTTGTTATTCATATTATATTAGGCATGCAGTAGTAAGACAGCGCCTTTCACTGTAATAAAAGAGTCCTTGGAGTAAATTTGAATGTTTATTTAGTACCAAACAAAGGCTTACACCGACTGGAGCTGTCAGAGTCAAGCAGTGTCAGTGGTTTAAGTAATGTCTCTGAGTTTTACCCAGCTACACAACATTCTTGTGTCGCAGGCCTGACCCACTGGGACTGAAACAAGCAGTTCAGCAGGGCATAGATGCGCTGTCTTTGGCTACTTCTTCTGATGACACCTGCTTGCCCATAATCACAGTTAGAGACTAAACCTCCTGCTGACCTGTGGCTGTGTGTCGCACGTTAAATCCTCTAATCTTCTCCTTTGTTCTCTGTCACCCTCGATTAGTTATGTAGCAAGAGTCAGCGAGAAGAAAGTATGTGCTGAGTTTCCAAGTACATGCCTGTGCTCAGATTAGTAACCTTTAAATGCTCCATGCATTTATGAGTCTTAGGAGCTTAACGTTGGTGTTGAAAAACATTTTTTTTAAACCAAAGGGGCTCAATATACACAGGTTCCATCTAACGTTGTAAACTTGATGGTGAGAAATTATGACTGGCTGATGTTACAGTTTTTTTTAATATTTTGAAAACAACAATAATAATTAGCATTTTAATCATGAAAAACTGACACAACCAAAATGTTACAAATGCTACATAAAATTAAAGCCTTCATGAGTGACTCCATCACACACATTCACCTGACACAGAATCGTAGCTGATGTTTAGCTTCATTTTATCCTGCAGGCGACTATATGCAGTTAGGCTATGTCCGACTGATCTTATGATATAAGCGTCTTTTTAAGTACTGTGAGGGTTTTGAGGGAATCAAGACTTTGTTTATTGCTTCTTCCCATCTATTCTGTGTCTGTAAACCCTCTTCTATTCTTAACAATAGGATTTCACTATAAGTAGGTCTGGACAAGTTGAAGCTCACCTGTTCAAGCTGTAACTAATCATAGGACTATCTTGGCCTATAAGGTGACACGGGATGAGCAGGCATGCTGGTATGTAAGGAGGAACAAGAAATAACACAAGCAATTTTTGGATAGCAGCCCAAGTTTGTGAAAGGCTGTTTTCGAAATCAAAAGTTGCTTGATTAGCAGTTTCAGGATGTTTTTGCAATGCTTTTCTGATGTACTTTACTAAGTTTAGGCATTCAGTACAGGCAGACGAAGCATAGCAGGCCGGAACATTTAAATTGAAATAACTCAGAGTATGTACACCACCTTATCGAGGTTTGTGTTTTCAGGCAATTGACAAAAGCTGACACACAATGCGATAATTTACGGGGGTAACAATGCTGTATTATGTATACCAGAGACACTTAAGACTGAAGTAACTGGGAAATGAATGCAGGCCAAATTTATGTGCTTGTGTTTAAGAGGGCGAGCAGCTCTAGAGCATGTTTGTCAAAGCCTTTGGATAAGGCTCCAAAATACTTGGCTCCTTTTCAAATGCCGGTTTGCTTGCTGATAATAGAGACAGATTTTGATGCTGCTGCCAGTTTGTTGTTATATAAAAAAGATACACGCTCAGATATGCAGAAAAAAAGCGTGCCACACAGGCGTCGCTGAAGAAAAATACACAAATCCAAATGATTTATCGCCTGGATGCTATTAATTTAACCTATGGAGTCTTACTCAATAATTAATGTCTATTGGCATATGACCCTATATGCCATACAGTAAACAGCATGTCTCATAACTATGTATGAGATCTTTAGTTAGCTAATATATGGCTGAAAGGCTCAGAGACAAGCCCTGGGTCTTAATAAATCAGCCATATCTAATGAACCCCCTAATTGTGATTTACAGCCTGCATGCCCAGTGCTGTGATGGAGAGTAAAACAGCTGTACAGAGAGAGAGAGAGCGAGCGTACAGAGGACGAGAATCATCCAGTGGCACCAGGCAGAAAAGAAACTCTGTCGTATTAAAAACATTGCTCCCTTCCAGCAACTGTGAAATTCTTGTGTGGGTCCCGTGAGACCTTTGTCCAGATATGTTACTTAAAGCGATAAAAATCAAGCAGCTGGACGAGTAACCGTCACATTCAAGTCCAACCACGAACTGAGAGCAAGCAGAGAGGGATATTTACACACTCGCATAAAGCGCTCCACCCAATCCAAGTTCTTTTTGTAAATTATTTTGATTCATTGCCCGTGGTTATTTTGCTTTCCAGTGGAAGACGTGCTATAGCTCCTTCTTCTTCTCTGTGTCTTACTGCTATACTTGCCTTTTCCTGTCCATTGCAAACTAACTGAAAACATGTCTCGTGTTGCTTGTGTGCCAGAATGTTCATATCATCCACTAGTCAGATAAACAAATGTAAGATGGATTTCATTATATTATGCACAATCGATAGACTGTCCACAGCTGACATCAGTCTTTCTGGAACGATCAACTCCACCTTAGTATTAAATATTTGCCCTGTTTCAAGGACTTAAGTCATTGTGAACATCGACTGCTGTGATTGGCTAGATTAACAACCTAGTTTGAAGTTAGGCCTTGTGCACCATGAACAATGTATATTCTATGCAAGGTAGGACAATGGATACTTTGTGTGGTTTAAAGAGGCTCTGATCTTGGAGCACGCACGCACACTTCTCGACACCCAAGGCTGTGGCTGTGTATAGCTTTATATGTGTTTTTACATTCTTCATATTCCAGACAAAAAAATGCACTGTGACCTATTCTGTTTTTATTGCCTGTTTTCTTCTAAACCAGCTACAGGGCTGTCTCTTCAGTATTTCATTTCTCTCTGCTACAGTATACAAGTGTTTATTGACTCATCCAAGGTATCAAATATTAACTATCACTTCATGCATAACTGTCATTTAAATAATTTCACACACACAATACACACATTGAAATATATATATATTTATATATATGTATCACCAATAATTTGCCTTCTTGACCTCTACAGTTACTGTTAAGTTTTGAATGTTCAATTTAACCATGAGGTTTTGCATATGTAGACAAAGTAGCCTTTCTTATGAAAAAACAGATGGCAAGCAAGTTTGAAAATGAATTTAGTAATTAAAAAAGTACATTTGAAAAATTTCCTTTTTTAAAATTTCCATTTTAATTTAAAAAGTGTTAATGTAAATAACTGAGGAAATGTTTTTTTGTTATTGCTGCTTTTTATTGTAAAACGAGCCACATTGTAAATTCAGTGTAAAAATGACACAATTGGACAAAGAAAAAAAAGGAATGAAACATTTAAAATATTCAAAAAGCAGCACTGAAAACTTCCCTGCTGGTACCT